TTCCTCACCATCAAGAACAGCATATCTTATTATTATTCATGCTTTGGAATCTAATACTCAGTTATATAAGTTTAAGCTACTTAACGCTATGCCATGATCCATGTTATTGAATATTTTGCAGATACTACCCCTATTTTATATTTTTTATACCATGAGATATCATCATGGCTTTGTTATTATTATCTAAAGGATAATTTTTATCTGCCTTATGAAATTTGATTTTACTGGCCAAATATTTAATCTCGTTAATTTTGTTAAATTCTTCTTTTGTCTAGTTTAATGTAATTCTAAAGGATCCTAATGTTACGTTTAGTTTATCTGCTCCAAGCAATGGTTGACCAAGTTGGAGCCATTACTTTTAACCTTTGTTCTATGTGTAGTTAAACACAATGTTATCAAAACAGAATAAGAACAAAGGTCTCTAAATGAACTACTACTGATTCTGACAAGCTATCGAAGAGGCCCAGAGTTAGAAACTGAAGGCATTGTGACATGATCACTGCCAACTAGATTATAGGTTCTAATCCACTTCCTTTCATTCTCCCAGAATTGCTCTTAGAGCTAGATGTCATCATTAGCATCCTGTTGCTAATGATATGAACAAGAACATGGAAAAATGGAATGAAAAGATAATGACATCTTCCAGGAATTTTTCAACCACCCTCATCTATGTGAATTAGAGCTGGACAAGTCTTTAGATTCCTTAAACTTACTGAAATTAAAGAAACAAAGAATTACAATTGGAAAAGAAACAAGACTAAACCAACATGTTACCCAGCTTTAAAGTTAAAACCAAAATGATTTTAGCATTTTATATACAGACACATCTAACAGTCATAAGCAGATTTTTTTAAAGACCACAAGACACTATTTTTATAGATAAATTAAGAGTTCTAGATTCCTACCTAATATATTTATAAATTTCCCCATTCAAGTCTAACTACTTCACAAAGTTGTCCTGGATTCAGCTCCCTTCAATGTTAGGAAAGCAAGCAGGCCAGCCGCTATTTAATGTCATTTCTCACTTAACTCTGTTCATGTAAAACATTACTCATTAGTATTAATTTTATGAACTATTATTTAACATTGTACCAGCACAATAGAACCTTCAGCTTTTGGCAGGTGGTCTTATTGTAGAGAAGTTATAGATGGTATATGTAACCTCCCACCTCCCCATGAGAATTACTGTATAGTTAGACACTCATTATACCCAAATTAATGTGTGTGTATGTACACACACATGCACAAATTCCTTAAAACACTTAAGAATTAACAAAATTATACATTACATGATAAGCCATAAGGAGTATTTTAATTGCAAATACAGAGAAAATGCATGCAAAGAGCTCAGTGAATTAAAGCCTGTGAGATAGATCATTTTAAGTTTATATTTCCTGCAGGACAGTAGCACATATTTCCTTACCCATTAAGAGACAAAATACTTTCCCTAACAATTTGGACAGTGCCCACTGCATTAAATTAAAATGTTTCTATATTACATATATGCAGTAAAAATACACACAAAACAAACTCACAACACTTTTTTAATATATCAAAAATGTTTCCAAGGCAACATCATTCGACGATCATACACAATCCCTATCTAACAGCAAGCTCTAACCGGAAGGTCCGCGAGCAGAAAGGGCCCGTGCAGGCGCTGGCTTAGGTGCTCTTCTTTTCTTCGCCCAGCAAATTCACGGTGGCTTTCTTGGCTATTAGGGGGAAGAAAATCTTATCAAACCACTTTGCAGCACGGGCTCTGTCCCTAATGTAGCTGCTAGGTAATGTGGATGCTTCGTGTTCAGATGAAAGCACACAGGTGTGTGGGCAGGGTTAAGAGGGTCTCCAGGAAGTTATAAAGGTACCACCTTTCCCTCAATGGGATAACTTGGTCAACAGACATGACTCTTAACTTAATGTTCTATACCCTAATTTGGTGAATACTTCCTGTAATTATAATCTTAAAAGTCCCAAGGGCTCAAGTAGAATGAAAATGTTTTGACAATGATGGTGGCAACATATGTACAAATGTGCTTGATACAA